TTTTTCGTTCTAGAATATCGTAGAAAAGATTTTCCTGATCTATATTGTAAAAAAAAAAAAAGAAAAAAGTTAGAAAAAATGACCATTTTGACCAAAACCATGGGTTAACCCCTTTAAAAAAAAATGTCAATTTTTTGACTTTTTAAACTTCTTGTTTTTATAGCCTAGAAAAGGGTTTTTTCGTTCTAGAATATCGTAAAAAAGATTTTCCTGGCCTATATTTAAAAAAAAAAAAAGTTAGAAAATGGCCATTTTTGGACCAAAACCATGGGTTAACCCTTTGGAAAAATGTCAATTTTTCGACTTTTTGAACTTCTTGTTTTATAGCCTAGAAAAGGGTTTTTTCGTTCTAGAATATCGTAAAAGATATTTTCCTGGCCTATATTGCCTAAAAAAAAAAAGTTGGCAAAATGGTCATTTTGGACCAAAACCATGGGTTAACCCGTTTGGAAAAATGTCAATTTTTCGACTTTTTGAACTTCTTGTTTTATAGCCTAGAAAAGGGTTTTTTCGTTCTAGAATATCGTAAAAGATATTTTCCTGGCCTATATTGCTAAAAAAAAAAAAAAGTTGGAAAAATGGTCATTTTTGGACTTTTAAAAACCATGGGTTAACCCGTTTGGAAAAATGTCAATTTTTGTCTTTTTCAACTTCTTGTTTTTATAGCCTAGAAAAGGTTTTTTTCGTTCTAGAATATCGTAAAAGATATTTTCCTGGCCTATATTGCCGAAAAAAAAAAAGTTAGAAAAATGGCCATTTTGGACCAAAACCATTGGTTAACCACTTTGGAAAAATGTCAATTTCTCGACTTTTTGAACTTGTTGTTGTTATAGTCTATAAAGGTGTTTTTTCGTTCTAGAATATCGTAAAAGACATTTTCCTGGCCTATATTGCCTAAAGAAAAAAAGTTGGAAAAAAGGCCATTTTTGGACCAAAACCATGGGTTAACCCCTTTGGGAAAATGTCAATTTTTCGACTTTTCGAACTTGTTGTTTTTATAGCCTAGAAAGGCGCTTTTTCGTTCTAGAATATACTAAAACACATTTTCCTGGCCTATATTGCCCAAGAAATAAAAGTTGGAAAAGCGGCCATTTTTCGACCAAAAGCATGGGTTAATCCCTTTGCAAAAATGTCAATTTGTCGAATTTTTAAACTTGTTGTTTTTATAGCCTAAAAAGGCGCTTTTTCGTTCTAGAATATCGTAAAAGACATTTTCCTGGCCTATATTGCCCAAAGAAAAAAAGTTGGAAAAATGGCCATTTTTTGGACCAAAACCATGGGTTAACCTCTTTGGAAAAATGTCAATTTTTCGACTTTTTCAACTTCTTGTTTTTATAGCCTAGAAAGGCGTTTTTTCGTTCTATAATATCGTAGAAAAGATTTTCCTGATCTATATTGCCAAAAAAAAAAAGTTAGAAAAATGACCATTTTTGGACCAAAACCATGGGTTAACCCCTTTGAAAAAATGTCAATTTTTTGACTTTTTAAACTTCTTGTTTTTATAGCCTAGAAAAGGGTTTTTTCGTTTTAGAATATCGTAAAAAAGATTTTCCTGGCCTATATTGCCTAAAAAAAAAAGTTGGAAAAAGGGCCATTTTTGGACCAAAACCATGGGTTGACCCCTTCGGAAAAATGTCAATTTTTCGACTTTTTGAACTTCTTGTTTGTATAGCCTAGAAAAGGGTTTTTTCGTTCTAGAATATCGTAAAAGATATTTTCCTGGCCTATATTGCCTAAAAAAGAAAGTTGGCAAAATGGTTATTTTTGGACGAAAACCATGGGTTAACCCGTTTAGAAAAATGTCAATTTTTCGACTTTTTGAACTTCTTGTTTGTATAGCCTAGAAAAGGGTTTTTTCGTTCTAGAATATCGTAAAAGATATTTTCCTGGCCTATATTGCCTAAAAAAGAAAGTTGGCAAAATGGTCATTTTTGGACGAAAACCATGGGTTAACCCGTTTAGAAAAATGTCAATTTTTTGTCTTTTTCAACTTCTTGTTTTTATAGCCTAGAAAAGCGTTTTTTCGTTCTAGAATATCGTAAAAGATATTTTCCTGGCCTATATTGCCGAAAAAAGAAGTTAGAAGAAAGGCCATTTTTGGACCAAAACCATTGGTTAACCCCTTTGGAAAGATGTCAATGTTTCGACTTTTTGAACTTCTTGTTTTTATAGGCTAGAAAAGGGTTTTTCCGTTCTAGAATATCGTAAAAGACACTTTCCTCGCTTATATTGCCTAAAAAAAAAAAAGTTAGAAAAATGGCCATTTTTGGACCAAAACCATGGGTTAACCCCTTTGGAAAAATGTCAATTTTTCGACTTTTTGAACTTCTTGTTTTTATAGGCTAGAAAAGGGTTTTTTCGTTCTAGAATATCGTAAAAGACACTTTCCTGGCTTATATTGCCTAAAAAAAAAAAGTTAGAAAAATGGCCATTTTTGGACCAAAACCATGGGTTAACCGCTTTGGAAAAATGTCAATTTTTCGACTTTTTAAACTTCTTGTTTTTATAGCCTTGAAAAGGGTTTTTTCGTTCTAGAATATCGTAAAAGATATTTTCCTGGCCTATATTGCCTAAAAAAAAAAGTTAGAAAAATGGCCATTTTTGGACCAAAACCATGGGTTAACCCCTTTGGAAAAATGTCAATTTTTCGACTTTTTGAACTTCTTGTTTTTATAGCGTAGAAAAAGGTTTTTTCGTTCTAGAATATCGTAAAAGACACTTTCCTGGCCTATATTGCCTAAAAAAAAAAGTTAGAAAAATGGCCATTTTTGGACCAAAACCATGGGTTAACCCCTTTGGAAAAATGTCAATTTTTCGACTTTTTAAACTTCTTGTTTTTATAGCCTAGAAAAGGGTTTTTTCGTTCTAGAATATCGTAAAAGATATTTTCCTGGCCTATATTGCCTAAAAAAAAAAGTTAGAAAAATGGCCATTTTTGGACCAAAACCATGGGTTAACCCCTTTGGAAAAATGTCAATTTTTCGACATTTTGAACGTCTTGTTTTTATAGGCTAGAAAAGGGTTTTTTCATTCTAGAATATCGTAAAAGACATTTTCCTGGCCTATATTGCCTAAAAAAAAAAAAGTTAGAAAAATGGCCATTTTTGGACCAAAACCATGGGTTAACCCCTTTGGAAAAATGTCAATTTTTCGACTTTTTAAACCTCTTGTTTTTATAGCGTAGAAAAGGGTTTTTTCGTTCTAGAATATCGTAGAAAAGATTTTCCTGATCTATATTGCCAAAAAAAAAAAGTTAGAAAAATGACCATTTTTGGACCAAAACCATGGGTTAACCCCTTTGAAAAAACGTCAATTTTTTGACTTTTTAAACTTCTTGTTTTTATAGGCTAGAAAAGGGTTTTTTCGTTTTAGAATATCGTAAAAAAGATTTTCCTGGCCTATATTGCCTAAAAAAAAAGTTGGAAAAAGGGCCATTTTGGACCAAAACCATGGGTTGACCCCTTCGGAAAAATGTCAATGGGTTTTTTTCGACTTTTTGAACTTCTTGTTTGTATAGCCTAGAAAAGGGTTTTTTCGTTCTAGAATATCGTAAAAGATATTTTCCTGGCCTATATTGCCTAAAAAAGAAAGCTGGCAAAATGGTCATTTTTGGACGAAAACCATGGGTTAACCCGTTTAGAAAAATGTCAATTTTTTGTCTTTTTCAACTTCTTGTTTTTATAGCCTAGAAAAGCGTTTTTTCGTTCTAGAATATCGTAAAAGATATTTTCCTGGCCTATATTGCCTAAAAAAGAAGTTAGAAAAAGGCCATTTTTGGACCAAAACCATTGGTTAACCCTTTTGGAAAAATGTCAATTTTTCGACTTTTTGAACTTCTTGTTTGTATAGCCTAGAAAAGCGTTTTTTCGTTCTAGAATAACGTAAAAGATATTTTCCTGGCCTATATTGCCTAAAAAAAAAAGTTAGAAAAATGGCCATTTTTGGACCAAAACCATGGGTTAACCCCTTTGGAAAAATGTCAATTTTTCGAGTTTTTGAACTTCTTGTTTGTATAGCCTAGAAAAGCGTTTTTTCGTTCTAGAATATCGTAACAAAGATTTTCCTGGCCTATATTGCCTAACAAAAAAAGTTGCAAAAATGGCCATTTTTGGACCAAAACCATGGGTTAACCCCTTTGGAAAAATGTCAATTTTTCGACTGTTTGAACTTCTTGTTTTTATAGCCTAGAAAAGGGTTTTTTCGTTCTAGAATATCGTAAAAGATATGTTCCAAGCCTATATTGCCTAAAAAAAAAAGTTAGAAAAATGGCCATTTTTGGACCAAAACCATGGGTTAACCCCTTTGGAAAAATGTCAATTTTTCGACTTTTTGAACTTCTTGTTTGTTTCCACTCTTAGCTTAAACTCTTCTTGCCATCACCGTGTCGTTCCTTAAAATCTCTATTAATCTAGGGGGGGGGGGGATGTCTGGGTTTTATTTTCGCCCATTCTTCATCTAAATTTTACATGACTAAATATCTAAATAAATTTGTAAAGAACAAAGAAAATGAAAAATGAATTGCACCGGCTCTGATTTCCGTAAACTACGTTATCTCCACTGAACAGATACTTTATCAAAAGCTTTGGACTTTCATGAATTTTCATTTACACGAAATGAGTGTCTCCTACATCCACAAAGGAAAAATGAATTCTAGAAAACTGCAACAACAATTCAAAGCAAGATATATTACACAGTTTGGACACTAGATTTTCAACGACATCAACGCTATTTCGTTTTTTCTGGAATTTAAGTCCAGGAAGCGCCTTTAAGCTGTCCAGTAAACAGCATGTAGACTACCTGTCACAGCTCACAGCCTCAGTTCAACTTCCAGAGCCGTCAGTTCACAAACCGGAACCGTTGACGATATAGTTCCAAGCCCAAACCCTTTAGTATCTTTCGATCTGTGGTCCGATCTAGAAGAGGAGGTTGCAAACTACGTTGTCAGCGCTCTAGCCCCTGAGAAAGAAGAACATGTAGTTTTGTTAGTGACAGCGTTGCATATGACCTATCAGTCGGTGAGTTCTGTTGCCAAGGCAGAAAGGATCCCAGCAAGAACTTGATTTGCCTATGTTAATATCTCTCCTCCTTTATATCTACGCGCGTGGTCTAAAAAGCGGCAAACGTTTATATTTATACTGATTCTGTGCATTGTTGTCTCAGTGACAGATGATGCCATGAAAGACAAATTAGAGGAGATGGAAAGCATAGACTATTTATATGAGATTCTTTAGAGGATACTAGAGTCAAGGCATTATGTTCAAGATTAAAAACCAAACCTGTTGAAGATCCTCTTTTACTGGACAGGGAAGGAAACCCTCTCCAGAAGAAAAATCTCCCAAGGTAAATTTATCTCGTACCCAAATCTCTTGTTGACAAAGCTCGCCTTCGGCTCGTCAATAAGACATCTGGATACGAGATTAAAGGTAAATGCGTCGAACCAGCAAAACAGTGACCTGTTTCAACCACCTCGCTCCTTGCCAGGAGAGTCTATTCTTCTGTTTATTCAGCTCACCAAGAATAAACTAAAAACGAAACTCTTTCAGCAGGAAATCCTCGTCCCCTCCCCCTTACTCATCCTCAATTAAAACTTGTGTTACAGACCTCTTTAAAATAGTCTGGGACAAAATAAGTTCAAAACGTTTTCAAAATTACTTCGTTTGATTGGTTTATCTAAAATTTTACTTGCAGGCCTGCTCTTTAAACTAAAGCCTTTTTGTTATGTTTCGCGCACAGAAATTAACTTATTGCTAGTTTTAGCCATCGAGGTACAGCTCTGATGGTGTGGGAAAAATGTAATTTTCTGAACATCTTTTTAAGGATGGAATTTAAAGTAAATATCCTGGAGGAATGTGAAAAGGGGCCAACAGACACAGACAAAGAAATATTCTTGAAGATTCTGAATAATGATACAGCTAAAGAGGTAATTAAATGAAGATTTTCCAATACGTAGCTATACGTGTTAAAACGGTTGCTATCAACTAAGGCCATATCGTTCAAAAACTATGCGGCTGCAGGATCAGAACCCTGAGTTAAAGGGGAATTTCTATTCTGAAATGCAGTGTCTCACAAAGGCCGAAGACAAACGCTATGTTAACATATCTGCTAATTTATGTTATTACACAGGGTGATTTTACACTGCAAAATGAAGAAATCGAGGACATCGTTAGCCCGGTCATTCCTTCAGTCCAGCCAGCCTGTACTGTTAAAGCACAACAATCACTCGGACTACTCAAAGAGACACAATCTGAAGGTGAGAAATGTTCGCAGCGGATAAAGTACAAAACGTTCCTTGTGGCCGTGTTATTTATGAAAAATTACGTTGGTTGCTTTACTTATATTTCATTTCTTTCATTTCCAGTAGAAAAATCAGAGCTACTATCAGTGGGTCAGTTTGCTTTTGAAGACGTTGAACCCTTTTTGGATAAGATAGCTACAGACTCAACGAAGACCACAATAAAAAAGAATGACTTTGTGACACTGAATAGGGGTAAGTTTAAATGGTGCCATTAATTAACATTCATCACAACGCCTCTTGTACTGTACTGAATAGATAAAAATTATCTCCTTTGCTTCGTCTCAATTTTTGGCAAGAGCCATAATGGGACTTGTTTTTGCTCATTAGAAGATGATCCAAAATCTGAAGATTTCCTGAAGGACCAACAGCTATTGGAATCTCCATCTCACCTCCCAACCTTTCTGGTTACTGGCGAAAATAGCTGGAAGTTTATCAGTGCTCTGGAAAAGTTTAATTTGTCGACGGACGTTGAAAGGTAATCACTGTAATTAGAGTGTATTTCGACACAACAACAAGTTACTGTTGTCCAATGCAAGTTCAACACCCTAGGACGCGTTTAAAACTGAAAAAAATCTTACGTAACCTTTGTTCAAATACGTTTACGTTTAGCCAGTAAGTTCAAAACCAGTGCTTCTTTTTTTCTATTGCAACCCACCAAAGACATCTATTAAGGTATCGCAGTGTGTCCAAAGCACAGAGGAGAATGAGAAGCTTCTCATTAAATGAACATTTGGCGATGGTCTTTCCTGGTATGTTCATAATCATGCGTGAGCATGCACTAAATTTTCACATAAAATTTTCAAATATTAGCTAGATAAAAGGCTCTCACTGACCTGTCCAAACCAACGTATGGGAAACCATGAGCATCCCCTTATTAAAAGAAACATTTTTCACCTCCTTATAGTCGCTTATGTCTCTTTAGGAACATTTTTTAGCCATTTGTTCTTTTAATCTGCTCTTTTGTCATCATATACGGAATCAGTTTAAGTAAGGCTCGTAGGTAGACATGTACAGGCATTAATGACTATATACTCTATCTATTTCTTTTTCTCTTCCAGTACCTAGCACTTCACGAGAAAGAAGAAAGGGACACACCATGACTTTAGTTCAAGTGGCCTTAAAGAAGTTAACGCTGTCTCAAGAGTGCTGGAGTGGACAGTTAGAATTAGGACTACCATGGGATCCTTTAACTCAGTCAGTGACCGCAATAGAGATTTGTCGCGGAAATCTTCAACGCTTTTCAGCATGGAATGATAATTCAAAGTAGACAGACTGCAAATTATCTTAGTTGCTAAAAAATATTTATCTACGTGTCGCAACTGTTCATCAGTAGGATGCCTAAAATGGGTGCAATTCCACAATTGGTTTCGGCTCCATCAAATCCTATACCAATTGCAGAACATTTTAGGAGGAGCCACCCACCATGTGAGCACAGTCACGGACAATGTATAAGTGAGGAGAATAACGCAAAGTAAAATTAAGACGTTAATAAACGAACTAAATGTACACGTCACTTAAATAAATAAACATATAATGCGCGCGCTCAAAATGAAATTGTACGCGCACACGTACCGAGATACATCTGAAATACAAGACTATGCAATAAATAAGTAATGTAAGGATACGATGGTGCAATTCAAGCCTGGATTGCTAATCTCATCTCCCGCAGGGCTGCACCATACTTCTCGACGATAAGACCATGGCGACTGAAGAATTTATTAAATGACAAAGCTGAACACCTTGACATCAGAAGTAGGGCGCAAGAAAAATCTTCAAGGTGATAAACAACGTATCCACAATGATGACATGTGTTTAAAGACAAATTATTTTTGTTAGAGTGCAAGCATTTGAGAAAAGGAAAAGGCTGTAGTAGTTCCAGGTTTTCCGGCCAAGCACGAAAACAATGATGATAAAAAAGCTGCTTAAAGAGAGAGTTTTCAATACTATTTCGAGTTCTTCGGTATCTTTAGAAGTGGTACTAACCTATCAAAGCAAGGGGAAAAAACTATCTAATGAATTTTATGATGGCTCAAAATTTTTCTATCCCATAACCAAATCAAAACAAGCAAAGAAGAAGAAGCGAAAACCGTGGGCACTAATTCTTTATTTGCTTTTGTTGCTACCCTTTTATTACTAGACCTTCAATCAAATGAAAGATTACCACACACGTCAATGGAAGAATCATCATGCAAGATAGAAGCCGAAAGACACCCAGGAAAATAGGATGTTCAACAGAGCTCGACAATCCCATAACGTCGTAAATCAAGATCCAAAGAGAAGCAACACTAAACCAAGACGACAAACGACTGTAAATCGTTCATAAACGTTTTTTGGTTATAAATAATTTCTGTATTTTCTGAATTAAAACAGCTGTTTAGGGACTCGTTTCACGAGCTTGGACTGCCTTTCAAGCTTCTTGAGTTCGAAATGACAGGTGCCAATCATCCGTTCAAGAGAGTGACGCTCTTTCAAATGTATGACAGGTGATTCAATACTTTTTGTTGTCGTACATTGCGATAACAATTAGGGATTTTTAAATTTAAAAAAATAAAAACGTCCGATGTAACAAAGAGATAAATCAAGAAATATGGAATCATTAATGTTCGTCTTAAAAAGTTCTGCGGTAGGAAGATTTTGTTAACTTTCGTCATTCGCAAAGATCAGTTTAATCAACTGTGATGAAAACAAGCAATGGAGGCAGGTTAATTTCATTTTTTATGAGGCATTGTGTCTTCCGCTTGCATAGTAAGACATCTCGGACTCTGTTGAAGATATTCGCTTTAGACGTGATTGGAATTGGCAAGTAATGGGAACTTAAATCTGTTTCGGTATAAACCGAAAAAGATATAAATTAGCATTTCGTTCACATTTACACTTCTAAAAATACAGTGGGTACAGCTAAGGTTATGGAAACTTGGAAATTGGAATTGAGATTATGGAAATGTTGGCTACTTAATAAATCCCGTAATTGTCTTCTTTGTATAGACCTGTCTGAGGATTCAGGCCATGTTGTTCTTGGCAGAAAGTGTGGTATACAATAAATCAGTTTTCAGACAATTTTTAAAAATTTACAAAGTCTTAAGACCTAAGCCAACTCGGGATTGAGAAAGAATCTATCATTTTCCATGACACAAAATTGATTTTATGGTTACTACTAAGTCCAATCACTCATTTTTTTGTTATTAAGGTAAATAGGGTCATGGTGGGAATTTTGGCATCTTTATTTTAAAAACATTTCCTTTTAGCCGTTACCATAGCAATAAAGGGGGCTAACACAACAGGTGCTATGAAGTAGAATATTTATTAACATTTTCAAGGGGCCAATCTTTTCTTTGTTTGTTAACAAGCAGAATTTGACTTGAAAATGGTAAGTTTATATATTTTCTTGTATATTTCAAACAAATACTGAGACGTTCGAGGGTGATTCTCGCACTTGAAAGGGCTAAAGGCTCGTACAATGATTAGGCAAAGTAAAACAGGTTTGTCTTTGAGAATTAAAGGTGAAAATGGCTAGCAAGTTAGGTCATGCCGTGTAGGAGGACAATGAATACATAAACGTCGTTTTAGGTTTATGTCTTGTCAGAATAGACTGTGCACAATCATGACGCAAAATCCGGATGATGAACAAGTTATGTAAGGAATATTTCCGACAGGTTAAAGCGTCTTTGGTTGCAGAACAAATTTTTAGCTAAGAGAATATCTTTTGACACGTATCGAGGCATTTTAATATTTCAACTATCACGAACATTAGTGTACAACGTTCGTTTATCACTCATCATAGCCTTTTTATATTTGTAGGCTAATATAAAATTATTCGCTGGTTCTAGAGGCTAATTGAAGTGCAAAGAAAACTTCACAGTCTTCTAAAAATGCTCTAAAATTTCTTTTACTTGTGTTCATGTTAACAAGATCTAATTTACCCGGAACCCAAAATCCATAATTAAGGCCGATTAAAATGCATAGAATTCATTACATCAAATTTTGTGCACACGAATCGAAAATTAAAATATTTGAAGTTTCTTGTCAGTGAATGAATCGATCAAAATCCTTATGTTTTGGGATTCCAAATATTTTTTTGGGGTCGTAAAAATGTCATTATAAACGCTCACTATAAAGGATAATCTTCTAGTACAAAAACTGCCTCGATTTATCGTCAAACTGTGCTTTGGAATAAAAACATTAAAATACTGCGACCGTAATTAATAATTGATGTTTCAGTGACAGCTTTATTTCCAGAAAATAGCAACGGGCCTTTTCGCCCAATCAGCTAGGGTATTTTCTATCGTTATTTACAATACATTCACGAAAAAGCTTCGATGTTATAAAAGTCAATAACTGCAAAAAAACTAACACGTTTCTTTTGCACAAAAATAACCTTCTGGATAGTTCAACTTGTAGCAAAAATAAGCTACTTATCTTAGTGTTTGTAACAATTTTTAGCTCATCCTTATTCAAATTAACCAAGCTGCAAAGGGATTCGAATAGAATTATCTGTAGTTACCTTTTTTTTTTAACCACTTTTCATTTACTTCTTTTCTCCTCTCGTAGGATGCCTTGACTCGAGAACAACTTGGAGGTAACGGAAAATGTCTAGTTTTTCTGAATATTTTCCATTATTTTTGAAGTAATTTTGGTCTATTTTTCAACGATTTCACGCTGTGTATAGTTCAAGGTGCACAGTTAGAGACCCCTACGATTTTTTGTATTGACGGGTAAACATCGCACAACCTGACTGGTCTCAAGCCACATTTCAGTGAATATGCTTAAGGAATTTCTATTCGTTTATCGCCTGTTTCATTCAACAAATACATTTTCTTGTTTTTTTTTTTCATTTTGTCATTATTCTCGTGGCAGTGAAGGAACGTTTTAAATTAGCTGTTCAAATACTTTTCTTCTAGCTGAATATGATATTAATCGTTTTACTGTCATGTTCGAGACTTCATTTCCTTAAACCACACGCGTCCATTATATATCTTGTCCTTTACAAGATCGTTACAAATTCTTGCCTTCTGTTACATTCGCTCGCATTTCGTCAGGGACAACATAGAAACATGGATAGCCTGCTTGTTGCTAAGTATCTAACGCTTCATTGTGTGGTCCATGTCGCCATTAAATAAGAAAAATGCGTTGAAAATACCAAATTTATGGGAATTCCATAATAACTATATCCTGAAAAATGTCAGTAATATCGAGAAATGTCGATTGTCTACAGGGTTCAAATGTTTGGATAAAGGAGTATTACGTATTTGCCAAAAGAATATTTGGTTGGATACGTTTAGCCATTGGATTTGATGGTTAAATCTTAATCAAAGTTTTTAACTCTGGGGTCTTCATTCACTTTGACAAAACGTCGATTACTGTCATCAGGAGTCCTGCTCTGGAATACTGTCATTAATGAACAGTTCTCACCTCACTAATTACATGACTCAGTTCTTGATTCAGACTTATTACAAGGAAACTTGTAACATGATGAAGTTGATTTTGTTTTCTTTTAGAATATCGCGAAGCTTTCAAATGTTTTGATCTCAATGAAAATGGAACACTGTCAACTAAGGAACTTAAGTATGCTATGCGCATGCTCGGATCAAACCCAACAGATGCTCAGATACAGCAGTTGGTGAATGCCAAGGATTTTGATGGTAAGATACTACAGCGCAGTGCTGTTTGACCGTGTGACGGGATTGGAACCACAAAACGCCCTATAATAACGTTCTCAAGCTGCGTTTTACAGCCAGACATAGTTAGCCAATACGTGACTCCTCTTTGCTTTTAATCCTTAACTCCTCCTTCAAAATCACTTTTAGAAGTTATTTGAAACACGAGTTACAGTACTTCATCACAGTATTAAACATCTCAAAGCTATGGTTTCGTGTTTTTCAATTTTTTCTTCAGTGTTTGATAAGCTGTGAAACACCGAAACTAGTGTTTGAAGTTTAACGTGAGGTGACAAACTATGTATAAAGGATCAACTTAACTATATAACCCTTTTCCCTCAACATAATTCTGTAATTCATTCCAGAGTTATCCACCTTACATCAGTAAAGAAAAAGATCGCAATCCGCAAGACGTACATCTCTTTTACGACTTTGTTCTGCACTTATCCTACAATAATTTTTGTTTAAATGACAGGTGATGGTACTATTAATTTTGACGAATTTGTCACTATAATTGAGGACGAAAACAGCATCGAAGAAGACGAAAACTTGTTCATGATTTTTGGAGTCTTCGATCCTGAAAATAACGGATATATTGACGGAGGACACATTAAAAGATCATTGCAAAGTTTAGTCGATGTTCCACCAGATGAAATAGAAGACATAATACAAAACGCAAGAATCACAGATGATAGAAAATTTGCCTTGGAAGGTTAGGATATTTTGTTTAACAAGAACTAATCTTTTGCTGATCCTTGATTTTCAGAACCTGAGTGAATGAAATGCTTAATCCATTAAAAAGTTTTTACTCGAGTCGTAACTTACGAACTATCAGATAGCTGCAGATGAATTCAGGGAATTCTCCTTTTGACATTTCATATAAAATTATGCCAGGGACGGATCCAGGATTTTTTTTTTTAGGAGGGGGTGCACTCGTCTCTTGCTCTACTTCAACACCAATAAACCACATAGTGTTTTTTTGGCAGAATGCCAGTTGTATTAGAAAACCGCTGGTCATCTCAGGGGGAGGGGGGGTTGCGCACCCCCTGCACCCTCCCCCTAGATTCGCCCCTGTATGCATACATATGTACGTGGATGGGACGACATTTAAGAGAAAGTGTTCTCTGGGGTATCATCATGTGGCCTGAAATGGGAAAAACAAAACACAAAAGCTAAAAGGTCTATTGTAGCCTGCGTAGCAAGCGTTTCCACGCGAGGTTCGTCTAGAAAGCTAGGACAAGAGCAAAAAAAGAATGAATGACGGGGGAGGGGGAGGGGAACGAAGGAACCGCTTGCCCGCAAACCCCACGATTTTGAAAAACTGCGTTCGCCCACGAACGCAGCTTCTGATTGGCGCGGTGCGGGTAGTATTGATTACTTAGCATTCGAAACATCAATCAAACCAGGTATGCTTTGTTTTCGTGCGTCACAGATCTGGTCTCATCTGATTTGTGGTCGCAGATTACAAATGCTTTGGACTGATATTTATTGGAATCGTGTTTGTGCGAAGGTTTATGAGATCAGAGTCTTCAAAGTATAATTGGAGATCGAGCAGTGGAGACTAGGGAAGGCCAATTTATTGAGAATGATGGCGTGCGGATCTGACTGGAAAAATGGACTGTTTGTTGGAGATAACATCAACATCAGAACATCGGTACTCGACACTAGCTAAAGCCGCCATGGACAAGCGATTTGTCAGCTTTTTGAAATGTAAAGATTCTTTTTGTTAATTGGAAATTTAGCGGCATCTATTGTAGAGAACGTTTCGACACAGGCTGAAGAGCAGCCGCTCTGCAAAACTTATACCCGGCGGAGTGAATTGTTCCGGACAAATCATTTTTGAAGTGTCGACAAGATTTCAGACGAAATAAAGCCACACAATAAAAAACAAGAAATTCCGCAGCAATCACTCATAGTTTTAACTTTCTTTTATCGCAAATCTTTTTTATTACAGTTCTTGCAATCGCCTGCAACGTGTTCGATTAGAGAACAAAGTAATTTTACAAATCTGGTAATCCAGGGGTAATCTGTTCGTTATGTTTCTATTTTGACGAGCTGTCAATTTACAAATGAACCGAACCGTGAAATATCAAGGGGCGTTTTCCAGAATCGTGGGGTTTGCGGGCAAGCGTTTCCTCTTGTCCCCTCCCCCTCCCCCTTCAACCTCTTTTTTGCTTCCGCTCTTAACTTTCGCGCAATAACTCGATTGGAAACGCTTGCTACGCAGGCTAGGTCTATTGCCACCATTTCCTCATGCTTACCATCCACTCTACTTCGCATGCTCTGAGATAAACTTACCGCGAGACATTTTTTTTGTTCCATTACCCAGAGTTCTCCGCTCTCCTTGTTCCACTCATCTTCAGCAGGAAAAGAGGCCGCTATTACCATGGCGACAGAAGGAGCTGGCACAGCTCAAGAGACAATAATATTTATTCAGAAGAAAGTTCTTCCGAAGAAAGTGCTTCTGAAGAAAGTTCACTCACGAAGTTATAAATTAAATATTTATTACGTTTTTTGGAGCATTTGTTACTAAAAAGTGTAGATATTTGTACAACAAATAAATATAAGGTAGCTGAAGTTGTCGGGTATTTTTACTTGCCTGTAATTTTTTTCCAGCTTCTTAATAAATTAAACTCTGTTATGGTTGTTTCGTGTTATGAAAGTTACTTGGACTATGAGAAAGAAAGTGAAAACAACGATTACGGAGGTCATCTTTTCTAGAGTCAGAAAAAAGGAGATCCAGTATAATCCTCCCCCCATTTATAGGCCCATCTACCCGTAAACAAAAAAATACATCCGGCTATGAGCTCCCCCCCCGAATACATCTCCCCTCTAGCATGTATTGAAATGAATTCGACTGTTTACGACATTTTGAAACTTAAAAAAGCGATCAAATTCAAAAAGTATTTTGATCAGCAGCGGCTATGTAGCTTGTTTTGAAACACTTTTTTTAGTCCAGTTATACGGTTAACTTAACACTTCTCTCTACGGCGCATGACCTCGCTCATTTTATTATGCGATTCGCGTGGATATCGCCTCTACAGTGGGCTCGCTTAGCACTTTTCATCCTTCCCAAGATGAATCGCACGGTGCTTCCTAGGCTGAACCAATCAGTGTCAGCAGAAAACGATGCAGCAGATGCGTTGAGAAGCAAACAAATTTCTTGGCGTGAGTGGAGTAAATTAATAGAATTTCCTGAATATACTTCTTCTGAGTACTAGAACCTCTAAACGCTGTATTTTTACAACGTCAGTATGTATGGGACCGGGCTAAACTTCTAGAATTAACCAGCAACAGCGATTTCTGAATGACAATATTATCAATGCCTTAGTCCAGTAGAACCCCATACTTTTTCTCGCAGTTTGATACTATGCATTAGCTTCACACTCAGGTAGACATCGCAGCAATTGGGTAGGACCACATATCATGGATCCCTGATCTTGTCAGCGGGCGATTTTAACTACTTTAGACTTGAAGTAAGACATCATTAGAGTGTCTTTTTTGGGTGAAATAGTCGCTCTTTGTATCGGAAGCATGAAATCGGTATATACAACCAACTGTCTTGTTCGGTTCTAGGCTTGACGTAGTATTTGTGTATGCCATCAGTAGGCTTTGTAAAGCGGACGATGTCTTGTAATTTAATCAGGTGAAAATTCCACTATGATTCTCTACCAGGTCAAGGAATTCTGCAAATATCATCATGAGAGTGAGAAAAGAGGGCTATAAAAAGTTTATTTGCACGCTGGCAATTGTCACGATTTTTTTGTAGTTTACAGTGTGTTTGGGATCCAATACCTTCAAGGGTGTTAACCATATTTGATTAGAAATAAAGGTTTTCTATTGACCGTTGGGAAACTAAAACCAAGAGTAATATCTGGTCAAGCACAATACGTGCTGGCAATTAAATGAGCCAATCACATCTCAAAACAGGTGCACGCTCCCTTGTTTGAGCAGGAGAAAAACACGCGTCAACCAATCACGATTTAGTTTGGTTTCAGTATAACCGTTGAAAGAACCAGTCAACACTAACTACCTTTCTGGTTATCAGTAGTCCCTTAAATCAAATTCTAAAAGTTAAAAACCATAAAAATTAAAAACAAATATTACTGTGTACAAGAGATTTAAGGCGAACATCTTTGTGGAGGCGTAATGATAATGACTAGTGCTCAGGCCTTCTCAGCATTTTGACGGCGATCAAAAATGTCCGCGAATGGTTATAGGCGGATGGCACGTCAGATTTAAGGCGAAACTGTGACGCTATGAACTAGAGGCAAAGTTTGAATGTATGAGGTGCTAGTTTAAAAACATTATGAATAATCATAAGATTCTTAAGCTCCCCTACCTTGATAGCTTATTTTTCTGTCTCTTTCTAAGTCAGCAATTGCTATAAGCTCGTCAAGCTCGTCACGTGGTATTCTTTTGTCCATATTTAGTATAATGTAGCGTAACTCCGCTGACTCGATGTACCCCTTGTTGTCGGCGTCGAACACTCTGAACGCCAACATCATGTCGGCTTCTCGTTCGTCTGGTTTCTTTTGATCTTCCATCAATTTCACAAACTCGGGAAAGTCAATCACTCCGTTTCCTGATGCAAAAAGTTAAACTAATGAACATTACCTTCAAGTAATCATGCCATGCTCCAGTGTATACCTCTCCTTTACAGTATAGGGCGGTGAGGTTTAATAATCGAGACAAAACCACATTTCATTTAGAATATCGAAGCCTAACTATGACTAAAAAATTACCCTTGTACGCGGAACTGAAAGTGAAACACGAGTAAGATTTTTTTTCGGATTAGATCTGCCAACACCGCATGAGGGACTTTATTTTAAAGAGATCGAGTTTACCAACTTGAGCGAATGATAGTCAAGATATAACAATGTTGTCTTGGACGAGGTTGGACTTTCTTATTAAGACAGTTGCTCCGTGCTGAGCCATTACTAACGAATACGACTCGTAAAGTATTTGTAGAAAAGGAAGAAAGGGGGATTGGTATAGTTTAAGACCTGACCCTTCACTCACCATCATAATCGACCTCGTTGATCATCGTCTGTAATTCCTCTTCAGTCGGGTTGAATCCCAAGGATCTCATTATGGCACCAAGTTCTCGCGTTGTGATAATGCCATTCTGATCTCGATCGAACAACGAGAAGGCGTCCTTGTATTCTAAGTGAATGGCAAAGGTTTATTGGCATCATGACAGTACAAACGACCTCAAGGCAGACTTTCACACACTTAAAACTATTTTCCCAATCGTGACTTATCTCTGCCTAATCCCTGTTAAATCCGTTCTTAATATTATCTTGATGAAATCTTAAAAACTTCACTGATCTTATACTCCACTCTTCGAATTTCTTCAGTGCTTTGATTGACTGGGAGTTCATTTGGCGAAAAGGACGTATTTTTGGTTTGCAACCACGTGACAAGGTGGCCATGTTGGGGGTCAATACAATACAATTTTTTCACAAAAAATTTAAATGAAAATGGAGTTTAGTTCCCAGAGGAAAGACATGCTTTTGTTCTTGACCATCAACATGGCCGCCATGACGTCATGTACAAACCAGCAACTTGTAAATAATCTGATAATCTAACTCGTTGTCCAGGCCTCATATGAGATAAAGTCTGAGAGAGGGCTGGGGCAGGCTTACTGCTACTGACATTACCTTCAATTTGTTCATCAGAAAGCCTCTCCTGAATAAAAGGTGTATTGCGTTAGTTATGTACAAAAATAATAATGGCTGCTATAAAATTACCCAGTATCAGTCATTCATCATCTGCCTAAATGCAAGTAATATACTTTGTTTAAGAACCATCGCGATTATGTATTAACGCTACGTTGGAAGAGACCAGAAGATCGATGACGACCTGGAGGAGGACTTCCGAGAGAGAAAGGGGAAAGACAGACTGGAGGAGCTGGAATGGCCAGAAACAGCACCATAAAACTGGACAAGTTTGGCAGACAGCGCGAAAGTCTTCTGCATCTTGGGGCGGAGAAAATGAAACGTTTTTGCGACGAGAAAACGTGCGAAAGACAGAAATTTAATGTGGCTAAAATTTTGCAAAACGCACTTATGTACCGAGCGCAAAGGGTGGTGATGGGAAATTCTATCTCGTGATGCCCCGATCGGGGGTAAAACATGCTATTCTTAAAAGAGCAAAGGGGACTACATGGCGCATAAGATTCCACTATAATGCTAGCCTCCCACGCACACGTTCTTAGGGGTTGTCACGCGTTCCTGCGTCAGCGTGGGAGGCTACTAAAATGCCCGCTGAGGTTGATTTAGTTTTGATAGGACATTGCACCAACTCTCTCACAACGGCTATTATTTCATACAAACCAAGATAATATTGAGATGAATCCAGACCTCACTTGAAGCAGATATAAAGATCACTTACACCAAACTTACTTTTGTTTTTATAATACAGAAAAATATGGTCAAGAATGAGCATTCATGGAATCATACAAAAGAAGTTTTAAATCTTAGGCAACCAGAATTACTATGGTTTACTTTTTTCACGCATTCAACGATTTATTTAAGGTGGCTCGGTCAACTTTTACTTTTGCGCGCGACCTTAGCGCATACATTGCCTCTATTTACGTCTAAAACTTTTTTGCGCGTACGCGCATAAACATTCTGACCTGACAACGGAAATCCACCCTGTTTAAGTTAATTAGCTAATTAATATGCGCATGGTTTTAATCAAATACAAATTTGGCAGGGATCCGTTATTGCTGTGCGTGAAATGATCAAATGGCAATTTTCTGTTACTGAATGTTTCATTCCGTATACTGTTTCATTACAACATTTTGGTTGACTGGTCTTGAAATTTTAAATTAACACTTACATTCGCATCTTATATTATACCTAAATATAGTAAGTAGGACATGTTATACTCAAAAGCGTGCTATAAAAAGAAGACGAAAAACAAAACAAAACAAAACAAAAACAAGTGACATTATTGTTTATGGCCGCCATCCTGTGCCCTAATTGTAAGCTTATTGAATGCGTTATGACGAAAATGCGTTTTTTTCTTTGGTAATTTCCGTCGCATCGAGACCATATAATCGTTCGAAAAATAATCATATTCCATTTTCACAGGCAGCTGTTCATAACAATCAGCAACTTAGTTTTTTAAACGCTTAAGGCAAAAGGAAAGAGAGCTAGAGTGAGAAAGAGGAACAAAATTAACTTTTAACTCTCTGAGTACCACGCAAAGCGAAGTTATAATCAGTAATGGTTTGTTGTTAAAGTAATAAAAAAAACACAATAACGACGAATTTAGAGTTTGATTTTTTTACATCTGCTTTCGATTTTGATTGGCAGTTCGTCATAGTTCCGTTGATCTCTGAAACATGGCAAAATTAGCATTAACTAGGAAGGGAAAAAAGAAAATATTTTATCTAAATATTTTATCTATCTATGTATTAATTTATATTGGGTGAGGTAGGCCGTGAACACGTCTTATCATAGGGTAGTGCGTAATTTGGTAGTTACAAGCAGTGAATCGATCAAATTAAACACGTTGAATTTTAATATTCGCATTCAAGGATTCACTTCCAATAAATGCAGTTCTTCTAGAATGAGAATGTTTTTTATTATTTATTGTGTCTGATGGTCTAAAACGTAATTCTATCTGGACAGTTGAGAAAATAGTAAAAAACAAAATCAGCGGATTAGAAATATGACATAATATCCCTGTTATGTTTTTGAAAGTGAAAAGCTTTTTTCTGCTACCCCACAAAACGGGTGTTTCATTTCCATATGCACGGAAAGTTGTTCTTGTAAAGCGTGCATCCAAATCTTAACGACAAAATCACCTGTAACAAACAATCTTTAGCAGGCAGAACTAAACCCTAGTTACCTTTTAACGACCACAGAATCAAAAGTTAAAACTATGGCGAGGGATGCATCATGAAACGCATTCGACAGAGGGAAAAAACACTAAACATAACTTTGCTTATCTACATACTTGACGCTTACCATACTGTCGTGCAGACTTACGATGATGTTGTGTCTCCTTGCTGTGTTCAAGAGGAAGCTAATAATTCGTGGAAAAATTTGGTTAGTACCAGCAATATTTTAAAGGTTGGTGTCAAGTAAGCAGCGTTCATGTAAGAATTCAGTGTTTCTACCGAATATGAGTCGGCAGGACCCTCTGGGTACTCGCTTTTCTAATTGGTTAGTGTAAATCGTCTTTAACACAGACCACAGTTGATGTTCATTTAATGTTGTGCACTCGATAAAAGCAATATAGCCTCGAAATGGTATAATTATAGATATAGCTATTACGTTATCGCCTCTTTAAGGTGTCAATCGTCTTTTTCAATGCAAACCATTGTTATGGTCTAATCCTAGAGTATACCTAAAAATAAGTAATACTTCATTAAAAATAAATAAAAGCTAATATTAAAATAAGTATTTATGCGTTGTACAATAATAAACAATTAAAAATGGCAGATAAACAAATAGATTTAACATTAAGAAAAAAACTAAGCTCCCAATGATTAAAGTATAAAAAAGCGGCTATGTTGAGGACGATTTAATCCCATTCTCTTGTGAAAAATTTTCGAACAACGTTTCCGCTCTGGGATTTGTAGTTTTTTATTTTCTAACTGCGGCTTTGTATTGTTATGTTATTTGTTTCTATGTTTCGAATTGTAGCAATTCTTACATTTGCCGGCTACATAGCAGATCAAGAGTGAAGGAGCAAATTTTAAAATTAATTCAAAGGATGCAAAACTCACCTCTTCCCGTAGAAGCAAGTATTTTAGTGATTTCTTGAGAAAAACAAGGCGTCTGACGGACGCCTCTTGGCAAGTTCATTAAAGACTTATTAATTAGAAGCACGTGTATGAAATGATGAAGTCTTTTTCATTGCCTAAAATAGATTTAAAATAAACTGCGGTTCGTGTGTGGTATCACATGTTTTTGCGTAGAATGTATGCTCACATAGTTAAAACGTGAAAATGGCGAGGATTCCCAATTTTGTTTTTCTCATAACAAATTAGGAAGCGGTCTGTACGCGCAATTATCATTTCTCGGTGGATTAGAAAAATGAATACTGATTGAAAAATAAAAACACTAGGCACGTACGTATTTATTTTAATTGAAAGCTGTTGGGGCTTAGCCCTGTATGTCCATTCAATTTTTGTCCCCCATCCTTCAAATTAAATCAAACATATTGACACATTAGTCATTAGTCACAGTCTCGATCTCCTGAGCGTTGTTTATAATTTTGCCAAAAACCTTCAAACGGACTCTAAAGGGCTAGCGCTATGCGCCTCTAAGTAGCTGCTGGCTCATAAATTCTGTTGTTTTCATAATAAAGTAAGTCAATAACTGAATTCCGAACGCCAAGCATGTTCTAAGGGTACATGCCTGTGTATTAGTTTTTCGCTGAACTGGATTAACTACGGCCCAAGTATAATTATGATAATGATAATGAAAATGATAATGATGACGATGAGGATAATGATGATGATGATAATGATGATGATATGTGCCGTAACAGCTGCTGCCACTCCAACATCACAGTATATGGCAACCATAAGCCGGTGGTAGGTTCTGTTACACTACAAGGGACAAACATTAACATTGAAGACAACTCCTTCTACGAATTTCACCCATTGAAAAACGATACAAATACAAATTGTAGACAACAGATGAGTCCTAATTGCATTTGTAGAAAAGAAAACAACCACAACAACAACAAATAAATGCACGCTTTATGCTGTAGGAGTGAGGAAAGTTTAATAAACGTTGCCAAAGTCATTCATGACAAGATGTTATGCGATATAAACAACTGAATATGACAGGTGAGACACTCTTTCGACTCCACAAAACTGACACAACACTTACGACTCTTTAAATAATATGTAAGTTTTTTAAGTAATAATGTACAAAGCACGCGTTTAAGCTGAGTTATAACATGTAAGCCTTGTGTTCACACTGAGTTGCTTAGCGAGAGACTGAATCAAAGGTTGTCAATATCCTCCAACTAGGCTGAGTTACAACATGTAAGCCGTGTGTTTAAACTGAGTTATTTAGAGAGAGACTGAATCAAAAGCTTGTTAATATCCTCCAACTGCTCGGTCACATTTTGTTTCATGGGACGATAGTCGCTCTCCATACTCTTTTGAGCGATAACTAATCAGAGCTAAGGATTTCATACTTCACTTGAAAACAGTTTTATTTCATGGTATATAACATGATAATGTACGATGTCTGCACGACTCGCTTACCACTTAAATATAGGTTTGTGCTTTAAAGCGTTTGTTTAGGTAGCTGAGATCCCTCCCTACGCGCTCTCATTGGAGACTTAAAAATCACATGACAATTATCAAGGAGCCCGTTTCCCGCCAAAAGTTTCAGAACGAACATCATAGAAAATCTATGACGTCAAAGGCGTATCTTTGGTGTAATAAAAACTATAATCATTATATAAACCAATCACAGCACGCAGATTTCCTGCACCTATTATATGGGTGACAATGTTCAAGACACATAAAAGGATACACTCCTTCATTACAAAGTTGTTCTGTTCGTGATGCTGCCACTTCCGTTCCAGATTACCAAGCTGAAAACAAGACGATGATAAAGTTTATGATACCGAAAAGCGGGGATACAATACAAACAAGTACAAACAGGTTTGTCTATTGCTCTTTAAGTCTGTTGGCGGGGAAACATCGGCATATTGCGAAGCTTAAGCGACTGTTATTGAAGTACTGCACTTAAAGAGACAATAGAGACTAAGAAGGTTTTCAGGTTGAGCGCGAAATTTGAGCAGGTAAAAGGAGCATGGCATCCAAGCTACTGTGGAACATAAGCTAATCATACGAGTCAACAACGCATGATGGAAAAATTAATGATTGGTGTCGTCTACGAAAAAATACCTGGGAATGTGTCTCGTTTTCCATTAGTTTGCTTCTGGTCGCATCATAGAATGAGGACAGTCGCTGGACATCTGAATGATACAGAAGAGGACTGATAAATCTCCTTTTTATATAACGAAAGTTCTTATTTTAAATAATATTGTGTTTCATGCACGATAGTCTAGTTCATCGTTTGCCTCACGATAGTCACTTTCGTATCGTCCGTAACCTTTTGACTTCTAACCCTAAACTACGGTACTTAAACACCTCAAGCTATCTACAAAAGGCTTCACCCTGACAATTAGTGCAATGAAATTGAAATTCAACGAGTGCCAGAGGGACCAACTTCCTGCATGATTAATGATGATAGATGTCTGCCCAGCCATGGTTGCCACAGCCAAAGTTTTTCAGGACTTTTTTCTGATAAATGTAAAATTTCCTGACCAATTAAATTAACAAATTCACAAATTAGTCCTGATAGTGGACTCAACGTCCCCCTGACAGCTATCCCCTTCACCCATTTATTTATGCTTTCAGCAAGGCACATGCAATGTACTTGAATTGACAGTTTCTTAACATAACGTGCAAAAAAGATTTTTTTGAAAACCCAGCATCAACTTGTCCTGAAAAAAGGCCATATTTATCCACAGATATCGATTGAAAACAGAGAGCTCTTAGGAGCGAAAGAAAGAGAAAAATCCTAAAACAAACAACTGAGACTTACGTTGTTTAAATGTTTCCTTTCTTGATGATAATACTTTTTTTTCCTCGTACAGACGCTAGTAAAGAAACCAAAAAATTAAAAGACATTTATTCTAAGTAACCCTTGATCGTAAGGCCTTGAAACCTTGACGTTTAAATTCAAATTTAAATCCGCCTTTCTTTTTACTTGTGGTCCAATTTTGTGTTTGCTTTTAACTCATCATCAAACAATACTATAACCCAAAACAGAACATAAAATTGGCCCACAACAAAGACACGTGACACGTAGTCTCGACTATCGATGGTAAACCTCCCCTAAATAATGTCCAGTGTCCCCCCGCCCTCCCCTCCCCCGAGTGCAATTCACGGGAGAGGTAGTTAAGAGGGAGGAAATTATGGATTGATTCTTTAACATTTACATTACAAAATCAGTTTGTTTTCTAGACAGCCGTAGTACAATGGGATTGTCAACTTACCCGTTTCTTTTCTTCTGACTGTTCTCTCAGAGTATCCAAGTCACTATACGTCTCAAGTTCCTAAGTAGTAAAAAAGGAACGTTAATCTGATCTTCCTTACCCTGGGTACCAGAGGTTTTTTCTCGCGTGCGACGAGGAGCTTCGTGTGGCCGACACGTCTTCGGTCTTGGGCCGAAGACGTGTCGCGTCCCGAGCACGCGCCTATTGCGATTGTAATCTAATCAGAGCATTTGAAACATTCGATATCTCCAAGGAACCAATCAGCAAAACATCCAGATTCTGGATGTTTTGGTGTACGTTGGGTTGTAATTGGCTCGGTGCTATCAAAGGAATGGCGCTCTGGTCCAGAGGCTTTTCCCGCGTGTCACTTTTTAAGACTTGACCGAAACCGGAAACCGGGCATGACAAAGCCTCTGGAACCCAGGGTAGATCTTCCTTCACCAAAGCTATGGTATATGAAGAACGTTTTGATGCAATAACTTTACCTGAGTCATTGTGCTGATCCTCTCTTTCAAAGATTCCAGTTCCGTTGTTATTTTTGTTTCTAGCTGTTAAATGAGTGGAAGTAAAGTTCATGTTATAATACCGCTATTATAACTCAAGTTTTACAAAAACAAGTGTTTGTTGGCATTACAATATAATTCTAACCTGTTCAACTTTTTCCAGATCCATCTGCAGCCGGGTGTGTTCTGATCACCGGGAAAAAACGAACATAAAAACGAACCGCAAGTTATATTGATATATTAAAGAACGAAAAAATACGGACTCGAAGCAGAGTTTTTGTCAGTGAAGCGATATACTTTGGCGTTATCTTAACGTCTTCCACAGACGGTTGATCCTATCGGTCACGTGATTGTATAGTGTATATCACGAGACCTTTCCAAATCGCCGTATCTAGGTCACGTGCTCGTACATCATGAGACCATTCCAAAGCGCCGTGTACAAATAACAGGCCAGGACACATAATCGTACATCACAAGACCTTTCTAAAGCACCATATACAAATGTTAGATCTACGTCACGTGATTGTACTTCACGAGACCATTCTAAAGCACGGCGTGAGTTTTTGAAGTTCCAATAACTTTCATCTTGTTGCTATACATCGCAAATTAAAAATGAAATAGTTGTTATGTGTAAGCGAGGAAGGACTTACCTGAACCTAAACTGGCAGCAGTCGATTGCGACTTGTGCATCTCTGTCTCTTTGAAATTCAAGTCATCCTAAAGTTAATGAAAAGAGTTAAATTATGATGTTGATGGTGACAAATATGATCTCTCTCATTTTCAAAGTCTTTTGAGTCAAAACGAGCTGACTTCACAAATACATTAACTTTAAAGTACCTTCATTCGTTGAAGCTCTGCCGGACTGGGCATGTGTTTTGTTCGTACCATTCCCTAAAACAAACAGTATAATTAATGAAACTTAAGCATCTGATTTCTACGTTGAATTCTGAAGTATTTATTTGGATACTCTAACGAGTGAATTGCAAGTACTGAAACTGCCTGACTTAAAAGACTAAAAGCATTATCGACATTAAGTTCCCGACGCTTGTTTCTCAGTCCTTAATATGAAGATACAACAGTTTACTTACTCTGCTGATGTGTTCCAGAATGTTTACAACTGTGTTCTCCAATTGTTGCTTCCTCGTCTGTGAAAAGAAGATCAGAGCTAAGTCAAACGCTGTGACCATTTACAATTTACTTTGACCAGAGCCCCCCTAACTCTCCCCCGAACTTTGGGGAACATTTGGTGGAAAAACGGCAGGATGGACTCTACAATGTACTAGGCTATACGAGTAACACACGTGATAAGAGTAGGGGGAGGCTGGTGGGGAACTGCATGACACATATGACTTGCACACATTAAAATGATATTATCTTTAAAAATCAGTGGTAAATGGTGTAGACAAAATAAAGTTATTTTCGGGTACCAGGAAATAATTTGCTGACCAACCTGTTCGTTTGCCTTCACCTCTTCAAAAGTATCCAGAAAATCTGACAAGGAAACATAACAAACTCGTTTCCAAATTTAACTCTCCTAATTGCATAAAAATCTTGAATTGCAGAGAATGGCTAGGTTGAAATTAATTAAAACTTTAATTTTTTTTATTTTTTACTACTGATCAGTTCAGACCTACCATCCATCGTTTCTTCTCTCTTCTTTAATTCCTTGTACTTAACATTTCTTTCACCTGAAAAGGAACATAATTTTTTGTTAATTCACTTGAATGCATTGAAAAAGCGTTGTCTGCATGTAATTCACTGAAAAAACAAACTTAATTGCTACGACTTCCTGCAAGCTACCTACTTTGACATTTTCATTTATTTGAAAAATCATATTCTTTTTTCTGTAGTGAACAAAGAAAACTCAATCTGCAATGATAAATGTTTACCTTGGTGTTCTTCAAGGTCCATGTCCAACTGTTGAATCTCCCCATTCAAAGTTTCAATCTTCTCTCGAAGTTCAGCGGTCCTAAACAAACGACAAAAACGCCTTAAAACCTCGTTGTATCTAAGGTTCTTTTACTTGGATTCAAAGACAGATTTACTGATTTTAGCCTTGACAACTATCTTACAAGCTAGCGCTTTGCCAACATTATAGGTTTTTTGTTTTGTTTTCGGTGAGCGTTTTCTACAAAAGACTGTTAATCTGAACTGTGAAAACTAAAACGATTAAAGAATGGTCACATACTTTCGTTCCATGCTGGCAATCTCCTGATTGTCTTCTTTGACCTATAGGCAAAGAAATAAAATAAAAAAAAAATAAATTATTAAATTATTAAATGACTTGTATATCTCTCCCATTAACTCCAGGGTCCATACCACATTGAGATATTAAACTAAGCACAGGAGTGATGTTCTTCTTCAGCCAAGGTCCTCAGAGAACTAATGGAAGATACACGCTATTAATTGCTTTTAATTAATGATGGGATGTCAGTTAACACTCAAGTTTTCTACAACCAATGCTCTCACAAGTTTAAATCTGAACAAACTAACTAATGCTGCTATCAGTTTCAGTTAAAGCATAGTAATGGATGACTAAAGGACGGCTAGTCTTTTAGACCAGTATTTTGATAGATAATCATCGGTGTACATTTCTTAGTGAGGAGAAATAAAAACAGTATCAACAAAAGGGTGCAGTGTTATGTTATGTATTCAAGTTTTAATTCAACACAATCAACACTAAGGGGGACAACAGAAAACTGAAAATTTCAGCTTTTTTTGTAGAATAAAAAAGTGCCTAATTTCCTCAACTGTCCCTGTTTTGATCTGTTACACCTGAGAATGTACGAAAAGAAAATTTTTTTATGAATTACTGCCCTGTTTTGGTTTTACTAAAATCCAAGTAGTGGCCTATCATCAATGCTGTGTTCTGATTGGTTGAGCTACTACTAGGCTATACGTTATAGCCCACTAGTAGCGAAAAGCACTGGCTTTGAAAACCTAAAAAAATGGCGGCTGAATCACGTTTTGCTTACTAAAGTTGTTTTGTCTCGATATTTTTGACCAGCTAGTTGGATTTTACTAACACAATTATTCCTTGAGCCCGAATCTCAGTCTGAGCCAATAGCTCATTTGGCCTTTGGCCTCATGGCCTATCTACTCAGAGCCCATTCGGGCTCGAGGAATAATAATTATTCCTCGAGTTAAATAGTTCATGATCCTAATAATTATTATTGTACCTGTTTAAGAAGTCTTTCTCTTTCTTCTGCAGGAGTTCCTTTATTTTCCTTCTCCATCTCATCAAGTAAACTCTGTTTCTTTTCTCCAAGTTCATTCAGTTTTTCATACAGTGTGACTGCTTCTTGCTTGATGTGAGAGCTGGACACTTCCTGTTACACATTTGATACAAAAATTGCAAGTAATTATACTTCACGAGAAAGGTAAACTGTTTGCATAGAAAGTAACAAGCAACATGTAGAGTGGCACACAATGTTGTATCAGAAGATTGTTTACCCTTCAATTTATGTTAGGAAATGTACTTACATCTTCAAGGTTTTGAATGCGAGTAGTTAGCGCATCTAATTCCTGTTGCTTTCGTTCAAGATCCTGTAACAATGATGAATGTACTGTCAGTAATATACCATACAATGATGGAAGAGTATAACAAAAAAAATCAACAAAATCAACAAGAAGTACTAATAACTACTGTCCATTTCATGGAGGCATGTGTGGCCGAGTGGTTAACACCTCCAACGCCGGATCTGGAGGTCTGGGGTTCAAGCCTCGCCCATCGTGTTGTTTCCTTAGACAAGAAACTTTACTCCACTTTGTCTCTCTTCACCTAGGGGTATAAGTGAGTACTGGCCACATACTGCTGGGGGGTAACCCTGCGATGGACTAGCATCCCGTCCATGGGTCCATTTATTACACTTGTGCCTTATACAGGGGAATTAAGTAGCCATACTACTAGGTGCTTCATGCTAATGAAACCAGGATAAGCTCTGGCCGTTTGGGCCTTTGACTTGTGTGCGCCTTTACCTTATTGTCCATTTCCAATAACTGATATGCCATGTGCTAACAAAGTTTTGCTGCTGTTTTCTTTTTTTTTTTTAAAGAATCTTAACTACAGTCATGTATGATGAGGTCCTCTTAGGAGAGTTACATATGCCCCTCAAAACCCTCTGTTTTATGTTTTGAGAAGGAAGCAATGTCCATGTCAGTATTTCATTACTGCATCTGTCCTTGTCTTTGTTGCTATTGAAGTCTGAACTCATCTTTGGTACAAACAAAGAAGTGGAGGGAAAAAGAAACCAAGGAAGGAGGAAAAGAAAAAAAACTTACCGACTGGAGTGAATTGTTAACATTCTTTAGTTTAGCATACTTTGCTCTCTGATCAGGAGGCTAAAATGGACAAAAAAGTTATCAACAACTGTTAGCATTGGTGGAACTCTTTTCTTCCCACTTGCTGAAGTAATCGCCACTATTACTTCCATAACTAGCACTAAAATGGGGTCATTCTATCCACCCACATCAAGGCTAGTGTCATAAAAAATAAGTTTCAGTAACCAGTCCAACCTGGCGTCAATTTTATAAAACTTTTAGAGAATTTACAAGTGTAGCTATTGTTTTCAGACTCTAAAACGGTGGTTACACTTGTAAAAGTTTTATTAAATTGGCCTCTGTATTCAATAATTTAGGTAATGTATGTGAGTTCTAAAAATCAAGTAGGAGGAAACCCACTACTTTTGTTAAGCAATTGTTATTTAATTACCATGTCTTCCACCAAACTCTCTGCCATTCTTCTTTCTTGATCAAGTTCCAGTTCCAGCTGCTTAATTTGGTGCTCTTTGCTTTTAAGAGAAAACATTGAAAATAAATTAAGGATTGAAAATAACAAGGAATTACTAGACTGTGTTACTCCACAAACAAACTTTATGATTTGAGATACAAGTAAATTATATAAATCAGCTCCAATATTTTAGTCTCTTGCTAACAATTACCATCTCCAGTGAAATCAGACCCTGAAGTCATTCTAAGCTACCGGCCATCTCATTTAGTATTGTTGCATAACAAAAGGTTGCTATTAACAATAAGTTACATGTGTTTGCAAAATATCCTAAGATGTCTACGTAAATAAGGGTCAGCATTCAGAAGAAACTTTTTTTTACACAAAATATTTTCATTGCATCACCAACAATGTTTTTGTATCCTCAATGTCCATGAGGTTCATCCACAAGTAATCACTTGAAGAAAGTCTTAGGGGGAGTGCCACGCGTGCAGGTAGCATACATGTACATTGATTCTGGCCACAGTAAACAGGCTTCATCTGATGTAAAAGCAACCTAGAATCTTCAGAACTTACTCTCGTCTCTGAGTGAAAAGTTCGTCAATAGAATTCTGTTCACGTTCATTCTGCATTTTCAGCTATAGAAAAAGATGAAACAAAAAACTATTGATACATGTAAATAAAAGTTTACTTTGAAAGTTAAAGTAGACAATTTTTTCCCAAGACTCCCTGGTTACTGTCTGATAAGACCTAAAACACTTACTGCATTGTAATCTTGAATAATATCATCCATTTCAGTATCCGTATTTATTTTGTCCAAAAGCTGTTATTAAAGATAATAATAACAATAATGAGATTTTCAATACTGTAAGCATAAAAATAAGACCGACAAAGAGAAAGGACATGACTGAATGACAATGGAAAAAAATGAAACTTTCAAATGAAAGAAGATCAAATGCAGGCAGAATTGAGAATTCATGAAAATATTTGTTCTTATTTCTTATTTTTACCATGTTATAGTCAGCTAGTTGTCCCTGAAGTTCTTTGATTTCATTTGCCAAGCCCTCCGCTCTGCAAGCAATAATTTTTGGATACATGTATAGCTGTCTTAACTATTAAATAAAAATAATAAATTATAATATAAATGAAAATTCTAAAACAAAATACATTTGCATTGCTCTTTCAAAAAAATCTTCCTACAGGGCTCTGACCATTCCAAGTAAGCTGGAGAAAAAACTATGTCATTATATTTATCATGCATGTCTTTGTCTCATTGTAGCATAAGCTCATTTGTGTATCTTTACCTCAATGTCTTTTCTATGTTTTACATGTGATTTTACTATTACTTTATTAGACAACAAACGATTAACAATGTTAAGTTACCGCTTTTCATAGGTGAGAAATGTAGCATTTTCCTGGTTAAATGAGTCAACTTCCTTTTGCAATTTCGATATCTCTGCTGCCAAGTCAATCATTTTTGCTCTGAAAATGAAAAAGTATACCATGTACAGTCATGTATTAATCTTTTCTATGGCTGATGGAGCGCACTCTTTAGAGGTAGCCATTATATATAACTCCTGAAGGAGCATCATGAGTTCATCCCTATATTAAGATTTCTCCCTACAAATAACCCAACAAGCCCAGGAAAGGTTTGCCACACCATCCGGGTCTACTCTCCTACTCTTTTCAAACAGTGGTGTGGGTTCTTTCACATCTCACAAGAACCAGATATTTAACTGAAAGTGCTGTAAGGCAGGAACTGTGGTTTTTCGTCCTTATCTGAGAAGGCTAGGAAGTCTAACCCTTTGCAGATGTAACTACAAAGGCAGCACTTTCTTCTCAGATATTTAAAGACCCTGAGTGTTGGTCAAGCTGCAGTTTGAACCCACGGCCTCCCGCTTAGCAGACTGGCGCACTCCCAACTGAGCTAATTATAACCAGGTGGTGGTAGATTCTTCATGATGGTAGTAAATGAGAGTGAATTTATGGAAAAGTCAAATACACATTTAAAGGACTGTAGCCTAAAATAGCCTTTAAAATAATGTACAGCTGTAAAGAACCTCAAAACTATGTTAAACTAGGTCTTAAAAAAACAATGAATTGCAAAGAAAATGCAAACAAATCAAAATGACGTGATTAAGTAATGATTATCCTAAACTATAATATCCCCCGCCCTGTTCCCTCATGGTCTCGACAGGTGTATCTTTACCCACACTTACCGGATCTGTCCCATGTAGTAAGACTTATCGTAGATTGTTCTTTGGGGACCTGTGTGTTAACATACAAATTAATTAAGAGAGGTAAGTCTGTAAATTAATTATGCAGTACTTAAAAGAGAAATACTGTACTTCTTCCACTGCCTTCAAAATCGCTCCTACTCCCAACCTGTTAACCCTTTCAAGCCCCAAGATGTGACAAACATCAATTTTCTCCTAAACAATATCAAAAAACAATCAGCAAGAGAAAAGATTGTGAGAACTACAGTCGAATCCCGGTAACTCGAACCCTCTATAACTCGAACCTCCCATCAACTCAAAGTGATTTTCATTTCCCTTCAGATCATTTTCCATATAATTTTACCCTTGATAACTCGAACTCCCGATAACTCAAACTTTTTTCTATCTCCCTTGGTGGTTCAAATTATTGGGAGTTGACTGTAATAAAATAATCACCTGAGGGAAAATGCTTTGGTCTTTTATCAAATTCTCTCAAATTACTCTTTATGGAAATGCATGGAGACCAGTTAGGAGAATTTATATGGGGATATTGGGGCTTAAAGGATTAATTCTGTTAATTAATGTTCTTACCTCTCCCGGCAGCTGTCTTCATTCCTGTTAAACCTTGCTTTGTCATTGGTCTGTCAGCCACTCTGATTTGTGCATTCAACGCTATCAGCAAAACAAATGAAAAAATGTAATTTATTTACCCATAAAGTTCTTCAGAACACATTTAAATGTGTCCATATGTTCTAGATCAAATTGAAAGTGCTGTAAAAGGGAAAATCAGAGTTCCTGGAGAAAAACCTGTTGGAGCAAAAAAGTGAACCTGCAACAAACTCAAATCACATATGGTGTTGATGCCAGGATTTGAACCTGGGGCCACATTGCTAGGAGGTGAGTGCTCATACCACTGTCACAGCTCTGCTTCCCAACATTATTACAACATGACAGCAAGAATTGAACCCTGGACCTACAGATCGGAAGTTCAAGGTGTTTCATACCACTTGACTACCATGACTCTTTTAGTGAAAGTACCGAGTATCGTCAGTATAGTAATAGGTTTAAGATGTGATTTTAGTGAAAATATGTTAACAAAGAATGAGTGAATCTAAGAAATTAAACTAGGATAAATTGTCTTGACCAACACAAGTCCTATGCAAGATCACTAAGTAGACAGTCTTAAATTAAAAGAAAATATCTTTTTCCCACATTACCTCCTCCCATTTCTCCTGCTCTGGAACCTGGTCGCGCAGTACCTGGAACCTATTTAATGTCAGTGAAAGTTTACAGGTTATCAGCTGTAAGGCTGAAAATAAAACATGATGGGTTTTTGCTCGTGGCAAAAAAAAAGGGGGAAATGAACAAATCTGTGTACATCATGAAGGTTGCCATTAGTTTTGAAAATTGATAATGACAGACGTAAAATGACCAAATAAGCGGTATACCATTCCAGTGCCTGGGGGCATTCTCATTCCGGTACCTTAAAAAGACCCAAAAACAAGGAACATTAACAACAACAACAGCAACAACAAAAACAAACTTTATTAACAAACACATAATAATGTTACAGAAGCAGCTAGCAAGGCTATTCAAGGTGAAACAATGCATGCAAAATATGAAATTAAGACTAAGGCTAGCTAAGGAGAGTTTACAGTTTGCAAATAAATGAGATAAAAATCGTAATATGGATGAGGACTAGATGACACAATAAAGAAGAAAGAATTAAACAAATAAATTGTAATTACGTAGAAACTAATAAGCAAGAATTATTTTTTTTATTTTAAAGGGAGGATTCACAAACTAAATCACTTAATTTAGTATTCTGAAATTGTTCAGGAACAGTCAAGAAAAACATTACACTTTGTTACCTGGAGGCCTACCCATGGCTTATGTTTCATATTTAAGTCAAGTAAAGGAAAAGAAACATAATCTGTACATTTGTATGCTACTTGCAGATAAACTGCTAAAAAAAAGCCTAAATAGTTGAGGCTGGATGTAAAAAGACCACCTGCAACTGCTTTTGTCAATGGCCTTTTGTGTATTTTAACACCAGAAGCCATGATTTGATGCACCCTCCCTTGGCAAAAACGTTTAAATCAGGGGCGTAGCTAGCTGGGGGCTCCTGGGGTGCCCGTGACTCCCCCCCTTGGTAGGCCTTCTTTTGAGCAAAAAACCTACAAAACAGATGAGCAGTCAGAATGGAATAGCTTTATTTTGTGGAACTTAACTGCCAGAAAAACATCCGTTTTTCTGGCACCAATCAGGAGGAACGAACAGGACAAAAATTCCATACTGATTTGCAAAACTGGTCTGGTAAGACATTGTCCCCAGGGTTCATTGTTTTAGCTACTGTTTCTTGACAGACAAAAGTTCCATATAAATTTTCCATAAAGAATCTCTAGCAAAATTTAGACTATTCAACAAATTTTGTTGAATCTGCCCTCTAGAAGGGTTGAGTTCTGATGGAGTTGGCAGATGAACACAAAAATTTACCAAATCGACCAGAAGACACGTAAAACTGTACAAATTTGTATTTGGAACCCCATGACTACCGGATTTATTATGTAAACATTGATTTGCGTCATCAGTATGGAATTTTTGCCACTGAGTCGCAGACGTTCCTCCGCGCGAAACGTCCCCAGCGGCGAAGAGCGAGGAGAAACGGATGTTTTCGCAGGCTAACTTAACTGCTGGCTACAAGCTATTTTGTAGGCTTGTCCTGCCCACTACTCTCATTGCTCATCCCAAAACTGTAACATTAAGTAAAACATGTACGGCATGGAGGTCGACATGACAATCTGGTGAGTAGCCTCTGTGACCTCCCCTTTGAAAAATCCTGGCTACGCCCCTGTAAATACCAAGGTAGCATCAGAATAAAATAATGGTCCTTGGACCTACAACACCCTACTGAGAATCATTAGACAAGTAGAGATGCTCAGTGAATTTAAAATCAAGCCAAAGTGCCATTTTAAACAGTAGTGCCCGCAGTACATGTTGCCCTTGTAACTTAATTAATTTTCTATAGTTTTAATGTCTTTGTTTTAGTGTTGTGTCACGGCTCCATTTAAACTAGTTCTGCTAAATTGGATGCCCCTGGATAAATATTGATTAACAAAAATTTTATTCAATAAGCCTTGATGTTTTTTTTTTCATGAATGAAACAAAAAAACGGGATCAAATTCGACTCAGTTGATCGGCTATTGTCAGGAATTTAACTCAAGTTATTATCTCCCCCACCCCTCTAATTTAGTGTTTTCACACTTTTTATGAGTGAGGCTTCTTTAAAATAAGCTGACTTTTCTGGTCACAGTATATATTTGTATATGTAATAGCATGATTTGTAGTGATATTTGGCATAAATACTACGAGTGATATTTCGAAATTGTTATATGTAATTTCACAAGCTGTTAGGCGAGTGAAATGTGAGGCAATTTTGAAATATCATGAGCGGTATTTATGCCAAATGTCATGGACAAATCATGCTGTTCTTTGTTTATACTACTACCAGCAAAAGGTTTGTAATTTTCACATGTAGGTATTTCAAAATAAGCGGAAATACCACTGTTCTAAGCCAATCAAATTGCCGAAATTTTTCATGTGGTAGTATAAACAGACTTTTTACCTAAAAAGATAAATTTTTTATTCCACAGGATAGCCACTAATTAGACGAATTACGTATGGAATGTGACACTTAATAACCATGGTCAAATTAATAAATTTAAAATGCCAAGGTAGCTTCAGAATAAACAGTCCTTGGACCTACAACACCCTACCCAGATTCATTAGACAAGTAGAGATGCTCAGCAAATTTAAAATCAAGCTAAAGCGCCATTTTAAATAGTAACACCCGTGGTACATGTTGCCTTTACAACCTAATTAATTTTCTAGTTTTAGTGTTTTAATGTCTTTGTTTTTGTGTTGTGTCACGGCTCCATTTGAACTAGCTCTGCTAAATTGGACGCCCCTGGATAAATATTGATTAAAAAAAAAATTTCAATAAGCCTTGATGTTTTTTTTTCATGAGAGCAAAATATTTTTATGTTAACTTTAACAAGGATACAACTTGGTGGAGCCATTCTTCCTCTTGCTCCACTTGCTGGTCTCATCCCTGCACCAGATGGGGGTCTGTATCCTTTTGCTGATGGTGGCCGTCCTCCAAAATCACTCCTGCACAAAATCAGAAAAAATTAAATACAAGGAAAGTAAGGTATTTCTGTAGGCACATTACAGATCTGGCTATTTCAATTAAATTAACACTACAAGTGTATGCAAGTAAAAAGTTTAGA